TGGATGGTTTGATAAAGTGGACCCATACCTAAACAAATACAAAAAGTTTTAAGAATAAAGAATACAGCCCATGCTTAGATAATAAGAGAATATATTCTGTTGCACTAAAGTTTAGCTTCATTTATGCATTTAGCTCATTAGCCTTCATTTTCTACCATTTGTGGCATCCAAATTGCAGACGAGGCTGATCTGATTCTCCACCACGTTGTGACACAGCAACTTGTGCAGTTTGTGGGCCTAAGGAATACACCTTATATTCAAAGCCAAGAATTTGTTGTTAGTCTAAATGAGGTCTTAATGTCTAATCAAATTCCTCTTAGCAGTGCTAACACATGTCTCTGCTCACATCCCATGCCTCTACTTTTCTATGCTGCATTTTATTTAGGGTTATATTGCTATCTGCCAGTTATAGAAATATATGTAACAGTAAACTTTGTGCCACAAACTTGTACAAGGCTAAGCAAAATCTGAAACTAGTGGGGTTGTAGTCATTCTGTTACTAGACAAATCCTGTTGCAGCTAAATAAGCCCAAGCAGAGCTCCAGGCAGGCAAGCCAAGTCTCGATAAAGCCTGACAAGTCTGGAAGCATGTGGTGTTAGCTTAATACAAAGCCTGTATCCTGTTACTAGAAAAAATAACTGGGCTGCAAGGCCACATGTTCTGAACAAGATTTTAAAGGACATGACAGACAAATATTGACTATGACGAGCTTTTTCAGCGTCCAAAAATAGTTGGTTGTGCAACAGGAGAGTCCTAATTTCTTCTCTCTTGGGTGCTGTTGAGACAATTATTGGAAGGTTTTATTCAGTCCACTTTTCAAAAGTGGACTGGGCACCTGAGGTGGTTTTCAAAATTTTTTTTATTGATATGTGGGGTTTGGATGCAGGTAAGTCTAAGGATTTTCTTACTTTTTTTTTATCTTTTGGTATTTGTAGTTTCCTTTTTTGGGGTTAGTACCACTTTTTGTTACCTAGTGTAGAGTAAAGCTTTGGCAGTAACAAACAAATATTACAATAACTCTTAGAAACAGTACATGCACAGAAACAGGCTTCAGGATTAATACAAAGGTTTTGTTTGGATTTATTTGAAGAAAATGAATGATAAATTAAATAAGTCATATTTTTTCTTTAGGTCTCTAAAATACTGTAGACATATGTACAGAATTTTATTGCATAAAATTAGGGAAATAACAGATTTCAGGGAGGAGAAGTGTCATAAGAACAGTTCTGACAGGCACTACAGAGATGAAGAATCCTCCGTGACAGTTAAAGCCCCAAATTGTTATCAGTTTAGCAGCTTTCCAAGTGGGTTGTTCAGAGAAGAGTAACTGAGGATTGTTTCTTATTTATAACTTTAAAGAAGCCCCAAATCTGAAAGATCTTTATCACGGGAACATATTTTATTTAAGACAGAATGGTCAAGGTTGTGGTCCTGTTACCGATACACCTATTTAACTGAGTTCTTTTAAAATTGACTGCTAGTAACGTAGTGCCACTACCTTTCTGAAAGCAAACACACCACAGGTATATTCCTCTTTAATATGTGTAGGGTTTTTTATTGTTACTCATCAAGTGATGGTGTAATTGATCTCACTGTAAAGAATATGGAAAAAGTACATGAACAGGCTTTCATTGACTTGCAGTTTATAGCCTTATATGTGGTTGACTTTTTATTTTATTAATATTTTTGTTAATATTTTACATTACACACTTTGCTAGCATAAAATAAAAAGATGGACTTACAACGAGAAAAAAAGTAGCAAGGAAACATTACTTCAATAAACATTAATACAGGCAAATAATTTTTGAGCCTTAAAAGCTTTTTTTAAAAAAAGACACTTCTAAACATTAATTGTAATACTATTTTGTAGTATTTTGGAATTTGGCTACTTACCATACGGTTTTCTAAATTTTTCTAAACAGTTTTGACATTTTACAAACTTTTTTTTATTTTTTTAAGTCCACACTTAGTCCTATAAGAGCATTCTTGCCGGCTCCTTGAGCCTTTCAAAGAACTTCTGCGGGTTTGTGAAACAGGATTTTGCTTTATAAAGCCACGTTGCAATTATCCATACTGTTCATTTATTCATGTTGCATTTTTTTTAATGTTACTCATTAATTTTGTTCTCTGTTATACTTTCAATATAGGCTTTTCAAGACTTTGACACAGTCTCCCACAGCATTCTCTTAGAGAAGCTGTGGGCTCATGGCTTAGACAGGTGTACTCTTTGCTAAGTAAAAAACTGGCTGGATGGCCGAGCCCAGAGAGGTGTGGTGAATGGGGTTAAGTCCAGTTGGTGACTGGTGGTCCCAAGCGGTGTTGTAGTGAGGTGGGTGTTGGTCTCTTCTCCCAAGTAACTAGTGATAGGACAAGAGGAAACGACCTCAAGTTGCATCAGGGGAGGATTAGAGTGGATATTAGGAAAAATTTCTTCACGGAAAGAGTAGTCAAGCATTGGAACAGGCTGCCCAGAGCGGTGGTGGAGTCACCATCCCTGGAGGCATTCAAAAAACAGGTAGATGTGGCACTTTGGGACATGGTTTAGTAGGCATGGTGGTGTCGGGTTGACAGTTGGACTAGAAGATCTTGGAGATCCTTTCCAACCTTAATGATTCTATTCAAGTTTTACTTTCATTACAAAATAATGCTGCCAGGAAACATGAAATAAATTGTTACTCTACCCTTAATTGGCTTAGTGGTGGACTTGGTAGTGTGAGGTTAATGGTTGGACTGGATAATCTTAAAGGTCTTTTCCAACCTAAACAATTCTATTATTCTCTAATATGTTTGCATTGTAGAAAAGTCAAGCTTACCAGTCTGTAGTTGTCCAGATCTTCCCGAAAATATCCTTGTAAATTTTAATATAATTTCTGCCATCTTCCTTTTCTTGGATGTCAACATGCTTTTCAGTAAGAACTTACATGCAATAGCAAGTACTGAAGTTACTGTGTCCTCAATTTTCTTCAAAACTTTTGGGTGAATTCTCTTTTGGGACTTCTCACTGTTGGCTTTGTTTTGTAAGTTCTTCTGCAAACCCCTGAACCTGTTTGTGTCTCTGTTAGACTTTGGGCACTCCTTTCGCACACCAGTAGAACATTTTATGAACTCTTGCTGTGGTCTTTGTTTTCTTTGCATAGCCCTTTCACTGTGATCTTTTACTGACCCTACAGATTCTCTCATTGTCTTCCTTCTTTTGTTATCTTCGAGGAAGAAGATGTATTAATCAGAGATGCTTTTTGCAAGTTGTCCCTCAAACCCTTTTTTCCTCCGGTTTGTGGTTTTGTTTTGTTCGATCAGCTAAAGTTTTGGTATTTCCCCTCTCTCCCAAATTGTGTTGTTTTAATTTGTTTAGATGTTGTAACTTCAAAAATTATTATCTAAGACTGGACTAAGTTACAGAAGTCTATCTTAACATTTTTATGCACTTGATTTCACTCTCTCCAAGTGACTCCAGCTACCATTGTTTATGGGATTGGGTGGAGAATGCCTGATGCTTAATTGGGTCATTCTAACAGTTGGACCCTAACAACCCGCTGGAGCTCACAGTCTGCTTGACTTGATTTTCTCAACAGGTTCACAGCTCTCATGTTGATTAACAGGTTGTTTACACTTGTTACATCTCTGTTCTTATAACTAAGCTATTCCCTTCTCCTATAGTGTTAACTAAAGTTCATCTACGTATGTTAACAGTGATGTCAAGTAGGATGAAATTATGCTGACTGCCATGCACCCCCATAACAGTTCAGCTAAAATAATGTATAAAACTACTTTCATACTTATATTCCTTGCAGTAGGCTAAATGTAGGATCATGGTTGTAGTCTGTGTTATCATGATGTGTCATCATCTTAGCGTGTTCCTCTTGGAAACCTAATGACTGCTGTTGTTTCTTACAGTCTGTATCAAAGTAGCTTGGCCATCCAGTACTTCTGGTGGCCATATGTAAATTCAGTACTTAGAATTATACGTACTTTGAAGATGACTGATACAGTATGTTCCCAGTATCTCCTTTTGCCTGACCACGGCATAATACATCATCATCTTCTAGACAATAAAAGGCCTTACAACAGAGGAAGTATTTGAACCAGGTTGCTTTACCTGTTTACATAGTATGTTATACCAGAAGACATAGCCTAATTGACTTGTGCTTTTAAAAACCCCTTAAAATGCTGGTAACAGATGAATAACATACTTCTGTGCATTGAAGCAAGGTAAGCAAACAACAAAGAGGGTGAAAAAAGGAAATAATGGCTGACATCATGCTTATTTATGATTACTGATAAGTTGCCATTGTCCTGAAGGGTTGTGAATCTGGACAGTGAATTCCTCCTGCTCCTGGCTATGGGTTTTCAAGATGAATCTCTTGATTCTTCAGAAGAGAGACTACTCGCTAGTTAACCACAGACTGATAACAGGCATCATAGTTGACCTGATGCTTGCTTTTGAGCTGAAGTACTGGTTCCCATGAAGTATTCTATGACACTCAGTATGTTTAAAGAGGGAAGATTTTTAAAAAGAACGGGGAAAAAAAAACCATTCTGTTCTTCAGGCTTGGTTTAGTTTAATCAGCATTCTGTCTTTTAATATGTTTTCCATTGTTCACACAGACTTTAGCCTTTATTAGTTCTATTATGTCATTAACTTTTTATATGTTTGTATAGATAAATGTATATTTACATTGATTTTTAAATATTGAGAATTATGCTTATCAAGGTATTTACTATCTGCTAAAGTAAATTTACAAAAGGAACTTCCTGCTTCTATAAAATGAAAAAATTCAATGGAGAGAGAAAATACTTCATTTTTATGGAAACTTGTGAACTAGTGTTTAGTATTTATAGCTCATGTGGCTGATAAGAAATCTAAGTATCTTAATTATAAGATTGCAGTAGAGTGATAGACATGATGTAGTGTCTTAATTAGTAGTTCGTTATGTCTTTTTGACTGTGATGCATATTGAAATCTAAGAAATAAAATAGTTTAATATTTCCTCTGTTATAGGTAGCTTGCATGCAGCTCATCAATGCTCTCGTTACATCTCCTGATGATTTGGATTTTAGGCTTCACATCAGAAATGAATTTATGCGCAGTGGATTGAAAGAGATATTGCCAGTAAGCGTCTTGTAGTCTCTCTTTGCAATATTATTTAAATTACTGGACTATTTGAGCTTGAGAGGGGGAATGGGAGAACACGTTCTAATAAATTATTCTCAAAGGCATTTTATTAAGTCTGGGCATGAGCAGTTAGATATGAGAATCAGTCTTAAAATAAGAATGAAAAGGTGACGTGTGCTCTCTGAACTTTATGCTGATTCCTCAGCATTTTAGGACTTTGATTTAGAACATGACAGATTTGTGCAGACACTTGTATATCCAGGCTGAAGCCATGTTTACCTTTTGAGTATTTAACTTAACTCATGTGTTCTTGTAATTTTAAACTTTAAAATAACATAGACTTATGAAAGTTATTAGATAAGTTTTATTTACATATAGAAATGCTAATTTTGCAAGCCTTTCTACTGTTTCTTCTTTGCAGCAATTGAAATGTATAAAGAATGAAGCACTAGATATTCAGCTGAAAGTGTTCAACGAGCATAAGGAAGAAGACATGATCGAATTCTCTCATCGTTTAGAAGATATTAGATCTGAACTAGAATATCCTTTTGATATCAGCAACAGAAACATGAACAAAATAAAGTGTATAATGGACATTTTTCTGATATAATTTCTGTTTGAAAACAGTTATCAGTCAACATTTGACTGAAATATTTTTTTCCTTGCTGTTGCTCTCCTTAACACTTTTACTGAAGTAAATGATGTTTACAACATGGTGTGGAATACAGTTAAGGACACCAGCGCTGAAGGATATTTCCTTTCTATTCTCCAACATCTTTTGCTGATAAGAAATGATTATTTTATACGGTATGCTTAATGCTATGTTAAATGTTAATTATTGATTTTGTTGTCGTTTAGTCATTAATAGAGTATTTCTTCCATAAATTTAATGATCAATATAGTTTAGTCTTTTTCTGTGTGGATTGCAATTTGTAAGTATTCCTTTGTGAACTCACGTTTAAAAGTATCAGCTTTGAATAAGAATGCCATCTATATGTTTTTGTCTCTTCTGCTTAGGACACAATTTTATACATAAATATAGAAAACTATTTTTGTTGATATCTGAACCTTATTGGCTGAAAGTATAAGCGATCAGGACAGGTCTCTTAATTGGTTATAAATTATGGTAGTAGCATTGTAATTTTGTGGTGTATTTGAGTCAAAGGGCAAAACCAAGTGCGCACAGAAGTGCACTTCATACAGAAATCTGAACATATGCTTAATTTAGAGTAACTTTTGGTTGGGAATTGAGTATTCTCAATATACCTTATAGGTCAGCATGAACGTGTTAGTGTCTCTTGGAAAATTTGTTATATAAATTACAGGAAAATAGTTAAAATCTTAGATGTTTGAAGCTGCCAAATACTTTCCTTTCTAAAATCTGCCTGTGTTGTTTTTGAGGAAACACTGGAGGAACCAGATATGAACTGAACAGGGAAGAGGGAAGCTGTCTGTTTTCTGCATAGCGTTCTTCATAACCTTGCATTTCAGGCAAGGTCTAGCACGGATGTACCCTTAAAGGTTAAGAGTGCTTGCCTGATACGGGTACATCCATGCTAGACCTCTTCCACCTGAATTCAAAGCTTGCGTGTTCTGGGCAAGTGACCCAGCTGTTATATCCTCTGGCCTTTGAGAACAAGGTGCTTTTCATTCCTCTTACTGAAGCATGGCTGCAATGCATCCATAGTTACAAAAGTCACAAAAGCAGAAGGGATCAAGCTGAAGGAAGAGCCTTCTCTTTACTGGGAGGAAGCAGGAGGGTATCCTTCCTTCCTGTATTTCACAGGGGGAGAGATGCAGAGTTACAATGTAAGAATTGTTTATCTTTAGGTCCACTGTATTTTCAGACTTTGTGCAAACTGTTTTTGTGTAATAAGCTGCCAGATGTATTTGCCCTTTGAGGCTTTTGGGGTTTGTATCTACCCTTCCATGGAAATAAGTCAGCCCAAATCTTTTGACCTTACTGTGTTCATAGACAAGGTTTTAAGTATATGTTAATAAATAAATTTGTTGTAAAAGAACGCATCTCTGTCTTTAGTCCACAGTATTTCAAATTAATTGAAGAGTGTGTGTCCCAGATAGTGTTACATCGAAGTGGAACAGACCCAGATTTCACCTATCGTAAAAGATTAGATATAGATTTCAGCCACTTAGTAGGTAAGTACTACGTTTGGAAGTGATTACAGTATTATACTTCTTCATATGTTCCAAAAACCAAGTTAAGAGTTGTATGTGTGATTAAGAATCTTGTGTTACCTTATGTGATCTACTTAGTAAATACAATAAATTAGTAGGCTTTCTTTGTGATTTTGTTGTGATGGAATATGTGCAAGTGTGTTTGTTTATTTTTTCAAGATACTTGTGTAGATAAAGCAAGATTAGAAGAATGTGAAGAGAGGGCTTCTGAACTTTCCAGAAAAGTAAGTAATTTTTAAGTTATGTGATCATCAGATGGACACAGGGGATTACCTAATAGCTTCATGAATGGTGTAACTGAACGTGGCATAGTTTTTAACTTCAAATTACTATTAGTTCTGTGTTTACGTGGGAATTTGGATGTTTCTTGTGGGCTAGGAAGCAGAGAAAAGTAGTGTAAAGTAGTTAACCTTAATTGAGAGGTTTTCTACTATGTATTTTAAGGTTTCATGTACAAATTTCCAAAAAATCAACTGAATACTTAATTTGAACAGTTATCAGTTCCTTTAAGATAAACAGTGGCAGCATAAGAGATGACTCATCTGTATCTACAGATTCTGTATTACTGTACATCAATTTTTTCAGCTACTCTGTCTAATTCCAACTTAAAATACATTAAGTACTTTATACCATTTCATATAGCAAAGACTTGTAGTGGTAATAGAGATGGTACTTACAGTCAGTGGATACATGGAAGTTAGACTAGCAGATATGTTGTATGCGTCCTTAGTGTTGTTAACACATGAGTTTTAACAGACATAAAAAGAAAAGTTGTAAACTAAAGACACTATGCAGAACTGACTAGTATGAATTTTTTTTTTTCTTAGTTTGAAAAAGATTTTGTAGTTCATCAGGAGACACAGGCCCTACTGCAAAAAAAAGAAGAAAGAATCAATGAACTTGAAGCAGAATTACAAGCTTTTAGATCACAGGTATAAGACAGTTTAAATGAATGTATGAAGTATTGTTTTTGAAAGGGACTTCATTTTGCATCTCTTGCAGATTCTGATAGTACAGTTGAAGGCTTTTTCAAAGAGTCCTTGTTATCAGTTATTATTGACTGTTAGTTTCCTTTATTTCTGTTTTATACAAAGAATTGTAGTGTGACATTAATTAGCTGTTTGAGTTCCCAGATGATCCTTTTTGTGCCTGAGCTCTGTTAATTAAACTAATTTCTTATATTTCATTTGGGTTTTGCTTTCAGTGTCATATATTTCCAAAGTAATTAACCACATAGGGTAATAAGTCTTATGCTTTAGATTAGCATTCATCACTGTGATCTTTATCCCTCCACAGGAAATTATTCATTATGCAGTTTGCTTTGCTGAAGCCTTACCATGGATATCCAGCAGTGAAAGAAAGAACCTGTGGCTGGATAAGAACATTTCCTGATAAATTTTCAATTTTCAAGCATAAATATATATTTTAAAATGTGATGGAGAGGAATAGTGCAGATATTTGAGAATAATACTTGAGTTAACTTGTATCTGCTTCAGCTCTAAAATCTGTTTAAGAGACTGTGTGACCAAGTGATTTTTTTCCTGTGTCTTATTTCCTGGAATAAGAAGCACAGTCTAAAAATGCTTAAAGACAGACAACACTGGGAAGATATGCATATAGGAAGGTGATAAAATACATGTTTTGATCATAGAGGGTTTTTTATGCTTTTGAGCTTGTTTAATTTTCTTAGTGAGGAAAATTAGTTTAGCTCTGCTTTGGTCTGTTTAAAAATGTTGTTCTAATTCAGGTTTCTGGTCAGAATTAACTGTTAATGTCAAAGTCAAACAGGCTTTAAAAAAAGCAATTAGGAAAATTGTTGCGTTCTAAAAAAAATAATTTTAGTGAGACCTGTATGTCATTCATTATGAAAGTTTTCATGTGTGTATCTTGAAAACATACTTAAATACATTTTATCAGTGAAATAGGTTTTCTCTCCTATTTTACTTTTTCTCTTGTTCACTGTATTAAATATAACTTTTTTTAATGTGCTGACAGTGAGCACAACATACTATGCTTACTAATTATCATACCATGAATTATCCCACTGTTAATTGGATACTTGGAATGTTTTGTAAATATCAAGTGATTGATATTTACTGCAACTTAGTACTCTTAAATCCATCTTAAGAGGAATCTTTGGTTTCCGTATGGCATCAGTTGCTACTTAGCATGGCTATTTTCACCTCTTATGACTATTTTTCTCCTGGTCTTGTTCCTTTACTCTTTTGTTGTATTTGGTATTTGTTCATGTATTTGTTTTCATTATTAGAGTCTAATTGTTCAGTGTCTACTTGTCAGTGTAAACAATGCTTATGTTCAGAAATGCGAAACAAGAATACTGTTGTGCATGTATTTATTTGTATTTATTGATATGCAGCTATTTCCTTTTAAAAATATTAAGTCCTTTGCTTATTGTATTTCCCTCCATTTTTTAAAAATAAAATAGACGGTTTCAGCTCATAATTATCAGTTGAAAAGTTGATTAATACTATCACCAGTAGATAAATATTTCTTATTTATTCTTTTGTTGTTTTTGTCAGGTACCTATTTATTAATGTTTGAAGGCCTATGATAGAAGTTCTTCAAATAGTAGAAATAAATATATTTTTTTAGACTTACTAAAGTGCTAATAAGCTTACCTAGATACAGTATAGATGTCCTTACTATATAGAATAAGAAGTCAGTGTGTAAGGCAGCTGTATTTTTTGGGAAGGATTTTATTTTTCATCATAACTTTGTGCTTTCAGTTCTGTAGAATAAGAATGCTCCTATATTGGAAAATGTCTGTATTTTCAACAGAATTACTAATGTCTTCAGATTCTATTATGTCCTTGGAATGTTTCTCTGTGAGCTGTAGGATAAGTACAAACACTAGAGACTAGGATGTCGGGTTTTTTTATTTGAGCTAAACCATGGTAGTCAAATAAAATTTCATCAAGATACCTATCAGACCCTTCTTAGATCGTGATCAGTGAGTGGAATATAGCATTTCAGTTTATCATTTTTGGTGCGCACCCCCTGGTCTGAATGTCCGCTTCAGATGTTGAGACTTCCAATTACGAAATCAAAAGCATGTTGGTCTCATTATAATTCATATTTGATTGTTCTGTACAAGAAAAATGGCACTGTCTTTCAATTGGCTTGCTGGATTTAATCTATGAACTATGATTGTTATGGCATTTTGTTGATAAAAAAATATGAAACTGAATAAGAATATTTTCCTTACCAGTATGGCTCCCTGCCACCTGGTTTTCTACCATCAACACGTGGAGATGCGTCTGTCATTCCACTGGAAGCTGCAGGACCACATCAGCTGCCGCCACCACCTCCTCCACCGCTGCCTTCTAATGGAGCAATTCCACCACCACCACCTCCCCCTCCTCCACCACCACTTTTGAATGGCTTGGGAATTCCTCTGGCTTTTGGTGGTGCTCCTCCACCACCACCTCTACCAGGCCTGCCTGGAGCACAGTGGTCTCCACCTTCATGTACTTTGCCATTTGGAATGAAGCCTAAAAAAGAATTCAGACCTGAGGTTACCATGAAAAGACTCAACTGGTCCAAGGTAGTACTGATTACAGGCATACACTTGATGTAAAATCTTACATAGAGCCTCGGGTAAATAGACTGTCAGGAGTAAGACTGTATAGAGCAATTGATACAGTAGTTAAAATTGTGTAAGATATGAATACTTTCTGCCTTTAGTTTTCATTGTTTCTGAAAACTGTGTTTCACTGACTCATGAATCATCTGGGCAAGTATCTGTTGACTTTCTGAGATGCCTGGAAAAGTAATTTCTGGTCTAGAATAATACAGCCTTGATACCAGCGTGCTTCCTGGGTCCTACTGTGCCTTGTCTTTTAGCAAACTGTTTATATTGGATCAGTCACTGCAGTGTACTGATAGCTATAAGGTTTCCAAACAAGTGTCTTGCATCTATCTAGCCTGGACTGTGGGAAGAAGCATTGCAGGTCACTGCATTTGTCCTTAGTACCAATGTACTTACGTAAATTTAATGGTTGAAAAACTACAGAGTCTGTTTATTCTTTCTCTTCTCCATTGTGACAGGATCAATTATACCAGGACTATCAACCTACTGAGTTTTGGAAACTGTAATTATTTAGACCAAAATAAGTCACTAAAAAGATTTTCAGGGCTTTATGAAGCAATCAAAGCTACAGTCTAAAAAATAAGGTATTTAATATCTAGTTAAACCAGCTGTGTTCAGACTATTTAAAGTTTGCACAAGTTTTAAATCTAGAGGAAATATAATTTGCTACATTTAGGCCTTGGATAAAAGAGTATGTTGTCTGTATTGCTTTGTATTGTTAGAATCAATTTGTTCAAAAGCACTTCCTGTAAGCACTTATCTTCAATCAGAAATATATTAACAATTTTAAAGATGAATTATGTACCAAAAGTTCATGTTTTACTGACCTCTTAAGTATTCCATTTGCTTTAGACTCTGCGGAGCACAGTCTCTGCATAGTAGCAAAATTAATAAAACTTTGTTTTATCTCTTACTTGTAGATCAGGCCTCAGGAAATGACAGAATCCTGTTTTTGGGTTAAAGCAGAAGAGGAGAAGTACGAGAATGCTGACATACTTTGCAAATTGGAACTTACCTTTTGTTGTCAGAAAAGGGGTAAGTAATTGATTGTTTTAATTTTCAGCTTTTATAGATATCTTTAAAATTCTTGGGGCTTAAATACTGTGTGAAAAAGTTCAGAATGGAACATTAATGTTCTGGTTTTTAAGTGGAATGTGAGAAGAAAAAAGTTGAAAATCCCAAACTATATAAAGCAGTAATATTGAACTATTTTACTTAAGGGGTGACAAAAATTGTGTGACCTATAAGGAAAACCTTACCAAAAAAACCCCAAGAAATGCTTCCGGATAATACAGACTTTCATTCAGTCAAGTTTGAAAAAATATTTATAAAATTTTGTCAGAATACCTTAATAAAGTACTGTGACCTAATTTAGAGTCCAGAAGATGATGTGTTTACCCTCGGAATGCATATGATGACTAATGTGTTTTGGTTTCATGAAGGAGGAAAGTCTTTTAATGAAATTTTTTACTTTCTGATAAACCTGTAACAACATTGATCTCCTTTTGATATTTTGCTTAGCTTATTCAGCTTTTAAAGCCTTGAGGAAGAGCAAAATATTTAAAAGTATTCCTGGCTTTAAACCTTTTCTCCCTTTGTGGAAGTAAGTCGTCTCACTAGTAGTTTAGGGTGTTCTGCCCCTTATATAAAATGTCTATATTTCCACTGTTATTTCTTGACATTCCCCTCTGTCCCCTCCTTGCTTGGTATCAGAGACTTAATACTTTGGGGCAGCCAAAGGGGTAAAATGATTAATTCCTTTTCAAATTTAAAATTTCTTTTTAGTTTGTTTTTTACAAATTTCACTTTGATATTTTTATTTAATGTAGTGCATGGCATTCTCAAGTTTCTCTCTCTTTTTTTTTTTTTTTTTGGTATGCTTTTGTATTATCCTTTTTTTTTTTTTTTACCATAACCAAGAACTTTATTCTGCTTTTGTCAAAGCAGGGTTTTTATAGAATCATAGAATCGTTTAGGTTAGAAAAGATCTTTAAGATCATCCAGTCCGACCATTAACCTAACACTACCAAGTCAACCACTAAACCAATTAAGGGTAGAGGAGCAACCCCACGCCTCCTGGCTTGGTGGCTGGATCATTTATAATGAAAGTAAAAGCTAGGAATCATTAAGATTGGAAAGGACCTCTAAGATCATCAGTCCAACCATCAACCCAACACCACCATGCCTACTAAACCATGTCCCAAAGTGCCACAGCCACACATTTTTTGAACTCTTCCAGGGATGGTGACTCCACCACCTCTCTGGGCAGCCTGTTCCAATGCTTGACAACCCTTTCCGTGAAGAAATTTTTCCTAATATCCAATCTAAACCTCCCCTGGCACAACTTGAGGACATTTCCTCTCGTCCTATCACTTTTTACTTGGGAGAAGAGACCAACACCCACCTCACTACAACCTCCTTTCAGGTAGTTGTAGAGAGCGATAAGGTCTCCCCTCAGCCTCCCTTTCTCCAGGCTAAACAACCCCAGTTTCCTCAGCCACTCCTCATAAGACTTGTGCTCTACACCCTTCACCAGCTTCGTTGCCCTTCTCTGAACACGCTCCAGCACCTCAATGTCCTTCTTGTAGTGAGGGGCCCAAAACTGGACACAGTATTCCAGGTGCGGCCTCACCAGCGCCGAGTACAGGGGAACAACCACCTACCTGTTCCTGCTGGCCACACTATTCCTGATACAAGGCAGGATGCTATTGGCCTTCTTGGCCCCTTGGGCACACTGCTGGCTCATGCTCTAGCAGTATTTCTACTGACTTGAGTATTACAGTTTATTACTGTTGATACTTAATAATATTAAGTATGTTATACAAAGATAAAAAGGCAAGAAAACCTCACAGACCATAGATGCTTTTGCTTGAATCTATTAAAATAAGTCTAAAAGGTAATTGTGGTGCCTTTATAATGTTAGGAGAATTCCCCAAAATGTTCCCTGAATTAATAGGTTGGAAGTTTTAAAAGCCACTGGAGGAAATACTGTTTCCTGTGTGTAATTAAACAGTAAAATTTGGGAGACAAGATGATGTTCAGGCCAAACATGTTAATGGTTCAGAAGAGGATTGTGAATCTCCACAGACAGTGAGAACATTAGAGTTAACAAGATTAACATCCCTTCAAAGTTTAACTGAATGGAGTGAATACATTGTTCTGACAAAACCTCATAGAAGAGAGTTACTGAATCTACAGTTGAAACATCAGTGAAGTATAGTCTTGTACCAAATGGGGGGGCAATTAAAAGGATATAGCCTGCAAGAACAAATTTTTTTTGTTTGTTTGTTTAACAGGTGGAGCTTCCTGCTTAATCTTTTTTTTTTTCCCTAAGTTTTGAAATCTCTCTCATCTCACATGGGTGATATAAGTGTGCTGTCATGTTAATTTTTCAAGGGGGGTGGAGACACTAAAGATTTTATTTGGAACAGCAAATAGGTGTCTAAAGGGCAACATGGAACTAAATTTCATCTTTGTTCAACCGAGTAGTTTACAGAAATTTGCATGAATGCTTAAACACCTAAGTAGACAGCACCAGGCATCTTGGTGTCTCTTAGGAGCATGAATTCTAGTATAAAAGACAGCAAAGTAACTGCTTTTGTTCTCATGACTATGGAGGGAGGGGATGCTTCTTTGAGGCTTATACATAACTTATTGCTCATAATAAAACTTGCCAAAGAAATTGGAGACACTCAGTTTTCTTCACTTCTCAGTCTTGAAGAGATTTAACACCATCCTTTCTAAAGTAGAATCAGGAAGCTATTCACTAGACTCAATTTGGGAATAGTCCTTGACTATTTCTAAAGCTTGTCTTTAAAACCAGAAAGACAAGATGCTGAAAATTATTCTGTACCCAAATGACAGCATGCAAAGAATGAGCTGGTTTCCATTCTGCTGAAGGGTCTGCTTATGCACTCTTTTCATTGAAGTCATTGTGTAAGAAGAGGTATCTAGTTGTGGAAGCAGGGACCAGAATGTTCAATGATGCTTTAAGTTAATTTTATTCTGATTAAATACAATCAGATTGAAGTACTCAAATGTTCAGTTGCTGCATTTTGCCAGCTGATGTGCCAAAAGTATTTCAATGTTGATCCAGAAGAGGAAGTCTTATGTGTATGTAAATAATCCTCTGAGGAATTTCCACTAGAGAAAGGAATGCAGAACAGTATAGAATATACTGTTTATTTGAACAGATTTGAAGCTTTAGCAGATGTTTGTATAGAAGTTATAAATGATGTTGATTCTGAATGGGTATTGAAGGAATTGAAGTAACTGAAGATGTTATGGAGGTATGAAAGAAACATTACTCCAAGAATAAAAAAGTAAAAGAGAATCTAGCTTGAGAGAGAAGGAAAAAAATTGAGTAGTAACATAGAGCAAAGACTATACATGGAGAAAAAAATCACTCTTATTGTCGATGTTCTTCAATCATGGAATTACCTAATTTGGAAGGGACCTCTGGAGGTCACCTGGTCCAATCACCTTTGTAAAAGGATAGTCAGCATAGTTCATGTTGCCTGGGGCTATGTCCAGCTGAGTTTGAGATATCCCTAAAGAAGGAGATGTGTGGATGGACAACCTGTTCCTGTGTTTGTCGCCATTGTGGTGAATTTTTTTTCATAATATCTTCTTGGAATAGTTCGTTGCAACTTGTCTCTGCCTCTTGCTCGTTGTGTACTTCCAAGAAGAATCTGTTTCCCTCTTATATGTAGCCTTCTGTTAGGTAGTTTGAGACAGTAGTAAGAGTTCTCTTGCCCTTTATCCTTCTCAAGACTGACAGCTCTCTCAGCCTTTTTGTCTGCATTTTATGTTTCAGCCTTCTAATCATCTTGATGGTTTTCTGCTGTACTCATTCCAATAGATCTATATTTTTCTTGAAGTGGGGAGTACCAAACTGAAAAAGTACTTCAGATACTTCTCCCTGAGAGAGAAGGGGAGTAGAGGGAAATAATCACTTCTTTGACTGGTAATTTACTGGAGGAAATGTTTTCACTGTGCTGTTTGTTTAATAATAATAGTGATAGTGATGGTGGTAATGGTGAGTCCATGTAAAGGACTATGGATGGTATATGGTATTTTCTCTTCATTCTTTTACTTGTTATAAAGCTGGTTTTGTCACTTTCCAGAAATTGAACCATTTTTTGAAAGCAGTGTGTTTTATAAGAGTTAAAACTTTGAGCTGGAAACAAGAGAAATATTGAAGCATCATTTGCAGATGGTATTCTTGTAGCAACTTACTGAAGACAAAGGTTTATTTATTGACTCAGAATTTATTCTTGTCTCAGAATAAATTTGTAATCTTAAAGAAATCTAAGGTTTTATATATGAAAGAAGTAGGAAGGGCATAATGGAAAACCAACTTCTTTGTCATAAAACCATATAGATTAACTGCTACACAGGGAATGTGGGAGGAGAATATTAGTTCAGAATCTGGAAATACAGGTCAGTGTGTAGATGGAATGTTTTCAGTGTGAATACTTGAGGAAAGATTTGATTGTGACTGAAAAGTGTACTTATGTTTAAATATTTGCAAGAAAACATGAGAGTTTATTGTGAGATGCCCCAAGAAACAAAAAACCAAAAGATTCTGGAACCCTCAAATCATTAGCTTTGTGTCAGCATCTAAAAAAATGTAAAGTAAGGAGTGAAATCACTGCCTTAAAGACAGCAGCGTGGAAGTAAGGTATGCTCCATGGCTCTTTCCC